GTATGGGCAGGAAGTGGTGCTGGTCTTCGTCGCCACTCCTTGCACCCTCGTGTTGAATGTACGGATCAGCCTCAGGAGAGGATGATGGGGTTCGAGGACAAGCACTGCTTCAATACAAATGTGCTGCCTTCCTCAGCCTCCAGTGCCTCCATGACCTCCAGCATAGGCACCCGGGCCCCAGGAGGCCCCCGCAGCCGTCCAGAGGCCTCAGCCCAGGCCCTTCTTCGCGACACGGGAGGAGGAACAAACAAAGAAAACACGCCATAAATAGAAGCTGTTGGCGCTCCGCGCGGATTTCTTGGATCTGCGCTGGACCCCCCTCCCTGGCGCGCGGAGCGCACCAGCGGCGGCGCCGAAGGCGCCGCCCGGGGGGGGCCCAGCGCGGATCCAGGAAATCCACGCGCAGCGCAACAAGTTTATGTTTGTGGCGATGACTATTATTTTTGTTACTGTTACTACTGTTAGTATTATCATTCTTATTCGCAGTATTATTATTACTATTATTATTATTATTAATAATATTATTATTACTATTTGTAATATTATTAGTATTATTATTAAGATTATGATTATTATCATTGTTAGTATTATTATTGTTATTATTATTAGTATTATCATTATTATTAGTAGTAGTAGTAGTATTAGTATTAGTATTCTTCTTATTAGTAGTATTATTATTGTTCTTAGTCTTATTATTATTATGATTATTATTACTCGAGGGCGTGGTGGAAGCGTCGGGTCGGACGAAACGGGGGGCCTAACGAATCAGCTCGTGTAGCTTGCCTCCCCAGCCTGCCGGCGCCAGAGGCGGTCCTGCATCGAGGAGAGTGCCTGGCCGCGGGGCCAAGCTGAGCCGCCTGCAGCAGATTTCGTACCCCCCTTCTTTCCATCCCAGTGCCCCCCCTCTGGTTTGCCCCGAACGAGGGGGACGGAGGAGGAGAATGGAGGCAGAGGTGGAAGGCGTCCCTGCTCATCATCTCTTCTCGCTGCTGCTGTTGCTGGTCCACCTCCTCCTCCTCCTCCTTCTCCTCCTCCTCCTCCTTCTCTTTGTCCTATTCCTCCTCCCCCCCTCCTGGACACAGCCTACACCATGACGGAAGAAAGCTGCGCCGAGATCGGCAACCCGGGTCAGCAAGGCAGCGTACGTGCGCACAAGTTGCCACCTACGTATGCCACCGGTGGACGGGTATCGCACTAGCTAAAAAAGAGGCGGATCGGCAGCAAGAGACAGCCAGGCACACCAGCAGCAGAGCTCGCGGCGGCATGGAACCAGCCGCGAGCATCTCGATGCGGAAATAACCTCCTCCTCCTCCTCCTCCGCCTCCTCCTCCTCTCATCCCTCCCCCTGTCGCATCCCTCCTCCCTCACGCTCCTCCCTGCTCTCTCCTCCCTGCTCCCTGCTCCCTGCTCCCTGCCTCATCATTCCTAATCCCTCCTCTACTAGATCCGAATGCTTCGACGACCACCCCGCACAAAGCACATACGCTTTTGTGTGCCGAAGAGGCTGGGGCCGACTGGTCGGCCAGACCTCCTCGCATCTCTTCTCCACCTCGCCCTTGCCCTCCTCCCCCAGAATCGCTCTTCCGCTTGCCTTCTCGTCCTGTGGCAACCGCTGTGGACACACCGTTCGAAGACCTGAGACACGAGCCCTCCTCCGCTTCTTCGTGGTGGACTTGCGGATCATCGCGCACAGCCCTCGCGTCCGCCGAGACCCTCGAGGCCTCCACGCCGCCCCGAACCCCCGCCCGGACCACCCACGGGCGGGCCGCTGCGGGAGGCCAAGGCCCCGCGGCTGCTCTCAGAGCCCAGGGCCCTCCCGACGCGGCTGCCCTCTGCCTGCCAGAAGGCGGCGGCGGACCACTTGCAGGGCCCCCGCGCCCTGGCCGCAGCCGGATACCCCGACGTCGCCCACTCCGACGACGACCTCGGGCGGCCCTCGGGAGCGGCTCCCTCGGAGGCTGGCGGCGTCTTGGGGCCGTCTTGGGGGCCGTCTGGAATGTCTCTTCGGGGCCGTCTTGGGGGGTAGGGGGCCTCACTGTGCGGTGTTTGCTCGATGGCCCAGTCAAGCGAAGACGATTGTCAAACTGCCAAAGCTATGGGCCATGCTACGGTTCGCACGACTGATGGATTGACATTGAAGGGACGCGAAAGCCAGAATAACAACTGGTTTACTGCCTCCTCACACACTCGCGCACCCCTCACGAGGAAACAACTTGACGGATCCATTCAGCAACCCCCCTTCCCCCATTGGCTCGTCACGGGGCCGATGCTGCACCGAGGGTTTCGATGCAACGATGGATGTCGGAAGGGGGGGCCGCCGTTGCGAGTAGATGGTCCCATGACGAGGAAACCCCATGAAGAATCCGAGGGGACCCCGGGGCGTCCCCTGAAACCCATGGTCAGGTCCGCCACGCTATTCTTCAGGAGCGTGGCAGAAGACCTTAACCTGGCCGCAACGGCCTGGCGGGCTGCAGGCTGCTCATACGCCGGCGGGCGAAACTGCTCGCACGACCAGCTGCGGAGATCCCCCCCGCAGAGGGCACACGACGCCGCCAGCTCTCTTGGAAGTGTTTGGCGCCCAAGAGCGTGCCGTCTGCTGCCGTGTGTGCCTGCTCGACTCAAGCGACGCGGGCGATCGCTCGTCGCGCCTGCAGCGGACAAGTCAGAACGGACCGTCGCTGGCGCGTCGTCGTGGAACGGGGAAATCGGCAAGGAACGATCTCCCCAGCACTGCGCTGCCGCGCGTTGGGCCACGGCTTGGCCCGCACGGGCCAGTTCACCTTCCGCGATCAGCCCAGCATCTTCTCGAACGGAAGGGGATGATCGCTCTTGGTCCCGTGGCAAAGCGCGCCTGCGAATCCCACGGCTCGATCCGCTGCAAGCACGCTTACAGCGTGAAGATATCCCGTGGCGAGGCGTGCCGCTCCCTTGCACAATAAACATGTTACGATCAGTGGGGGTGTTACGACTACTGGGGGCGAGCTTCGCAGTGAGAACCAGCGCTGGTGGGAATTAAGTGGGCCCGCCAGTAACGGACAGCTTGATCAGCGGGGTGCGGCGGTGCCACCTGAGTTCTTGCAGCCAAAACTGGTTTACCCCCTTCGCTAAATCAACGTCCTACTCTTCGTCCTTGTCCTCCATCATCCTCCTGCTTCTCCTTCTACCCCTCCTCCTCTTCCACCTCCTCCCACTTCTTGACCCTTGTTCATCCTGTCTCCCTCCTCCTGAACTGGTCGAGCGAGCGATCGTGGCCAATGGAAGGGGGGGATCCGCGGGCGTAGCCAGATTGAACGTCGAGGCTGCAAATGGCCGAACCGTATGCGCACTCAGCACGCACAGATCCTTTGGATAACGCGCGTCAGATCAAGAGTCATTTCCTTGCACGTTGCGGCAGTTGGACCCCTTGCAGTTTGCCCAGTCTCTGTTATACCCACGGGCAGGCGCATGAAGACTACGTTGTCGATCGGACAATCGAGCCGACTCCCCCCTTCCGAGGCGAGTGTGTATTCGCGCCATCCTCTTCCTGATGGCCGAGCCGCCGCATCGACGAACAAAGCTCTACATCACAATGCTTGCATCGGTGTCGTCGCCCTGTCTGCACTAGGAGGGCCCCGCACGTCGCTGCCGATATATAGATATATATGTTCATGCGGGCAACATCCACGCTTGCATGGGCCCTTCCTGACTGCTCCTCATGCTGTCCCATCGGTGCCAACTGGAGCATCGAGCGGAGGACCCAAATCCAGCGAGTCATGCTCGCGTTGTTCTTCCGTAAGTCCATACACGTTATTTTACCTGACTTGGGTGAATCGTCATCTTCGGATGGTTGCGTCACTGTTCCACTGCCAGGTGACACTCCGCTAATCACGCCGCGGCCACTTCTGGCGCTCGTCCCTCATCCTCGCGATTGTCAGCACGCTGACAACACTCCTACCGTACACTGCTTCCAGCTCTGCTGGTGACTGACAAGAACTGTGCTCTCACTGTTCGCCATTTATGTAGCATGGCAGCTAGCATCGATTTCCTTCTGTCGCGTCTCGGGATATTAAAGCGGTCCTCAGACGTACCCACAGGCGCCACAAGGTTCGGGCAGCACCTGCCTCCACGGTCGTCGCCGCGTAAGGACCTCTGAAAAAGCCGCACGCACATGCGGGAACGCTGCGGGCACCTGGGACACACCAACAAGCAGCTCCAGGGATTTCATCGCGGGCCTCCCCCTACTACTCGATCCCTGCTCATCAGCTTTCCTCTTGGTGACGCCTGGGGGTCCACATTGCTGCCCCCCGGGGTGGTCCTTGCTGCCCTCAGCAGGCCCCTCGAGTAGTCTGGGGCGGTCTCCACAGCCATCCCTGGGCGTTCCAGCGCCGCTGGGGTATTGAAACGGCGACGGCGGCGGCGGCGACGATGACGACGACGACGACGACGGCGACGACGACGACGACGACGACGACCGTCGACAGACGACGGCGGCGGCGCCGACAACAACGTCGTGCTAAGGCTCTGGGTTGCATTCAGACAACCTCCGAGGTAGGCTCAGTTGGCTTCAACAGGCCCCCCGAGTTGCTTGGGGCGGTCTCGACACCTCAGCGCCGCCGCCAGCGGTGCCCCTGGAGCGCTCCGCGCCCCAAAACTGGGGTGTCGAGACCGCCCTGGGCTGCACAAGGTTGCCTGTTGAGGCCAGCCAGGACTACCTCGGGGGCTGTCTGAACGCAACCCCGAGCCTTAGCACGTCGTCATTGTCGTCGTCGCCGCCGCCGACTTCGTCCGTCGTCGCCGTCGTCGTCGTCGTTGTCGTCGTCGTCGTCAGGGCCGTCGTCGTCGTCGCCGTCGTCATCGTCGTCGCCGCCGTCGCCGACGACGTCGTCGTCGTCGTCCGTCGTCGTCGTCGTCGTCGTCGTCGTCGCTGTCGTCGTCATCATCGTCGTCGTCTGCGCGAACCGCTTCGCAACCTCCTCCCCATCCGCACTTGGCCGGGCGCGAAAAGTCACGGCTGCACGCCCTCACCGCGGGTCCGGCTGCCCACCGTCGGCCATCCTGTCCAGGGCCCGCTTCACCTCGAGGCAGGCGTTCCGCTGCGCGAGCTTCTTGCCCCTGGGCGATGAGGGCCGGAGGGGAGAGAGCAGAAGACGAGACGGAGCACAGAGCTTCCGTGGCACGCGCGGATTTGTCGGCAGGTGCTGGACCCCCCGCTGGCGGAGCCTCCGGCGCCGCCCCTGGAGCGCTCCGCGCGCCGGAAGAAGCAAGGGCTCCCAGCTTCGCGCTTCGCGCTGCGCGAAGCGCGAAGTGCGAATAACTTCGCGCTCTCGCGCCGCCTCCCAGGGGAGAAGAGGAGGATGAGGAATCGGAGCCGAACCGCGAAGCGCGAAGCGCGAATAACTTCGCGCCCTCGAGGGCGCCCTTGAAGAAGGGAGCCCCGCGCCGACCCAAGAAGTCCGCGCGCCGAGAGTTTCTGTTCCTGCGGAAGGGGGCCGGCAGCCTGTGAGAGAGAGAAGGAGGCCGAGGAGCACGAGGGGCGAGCCAGGAAATGCCGGCGACGAGCCAGGCAGTGTCGAGTCCGAACCTGGAGATGTCCTGGACCGTGTCGTGCTGTTCTACGTTGTCACCCGATCTCGAACTTCCAGACTTGATGTCGGACTTCCCCAATTCGCTGTTGGAACGTCCTGGTTCGCCCCTCGTTTTCTTGGCTCGCCCGCACTCTCAACGTGAGCACCCATCACATATGACCGCCAGCCGCTCCCACCATTCTTCGTTCCCACTGCGTTCACGTGCCCTCTCCGCCAGCGGCGAACGCAGAAGTCAACCGAACTGCGCGATTGGCGCTCCATGGTTGAGTATGGTGCCTCGTGGACCAGCGACGCATGAAACCAGACGGAGCCAGACGGCTGAGCTCAAAATTATGTTAAAGCCGTACCTGCACCTCAACGAAAATCCCGCCGTCCAACTATTTTCTGTTCGAACGTATCTGCCGCACACACTGTAGCCTTCCATGTACCACTGCACTTGTGCGTACTTAGGTTCGTGCATTACGATCTGTCTAGGTACGCATCTATAAGAATACATTAGACATGCGCCCTGCATTGGAATGTGGTTGCGAGGATGTCCGCTCCCTGTCACTAGCGCAGCGTGTCTACACAATATATGGGTGTCCACATCTGTACATATACACACATATGCAATGGCCGGCGAGACAAACTTTTCACGAAGTACCAAGAACTCCTCGAGAATGGGCTTCGGCGGAGACCGTGACCCTGGACTTCCAAGACCCCTCCGCGGATGCCACCATGTTGACAAAGCGTGGGACATGAGCCCTCGCGTGCGCATGCCAAAATAATCAGCCATGACGTCGTGAAGGCTCTGGCACATGTCGTAATTGCAAAGACGAGCTGCATAGTCTGATATACACAGTCGGGATCTATTGCCAGGCATGCATGGTCGTGGTTCTCAGATCGGGGACTGCATGGTCGGACAGAGATGCTCGGACCTCCCCCTTTTTCGAGGCGTGCTGCATGCGGCCCAGCTGTACGATTGTAGGCCTGCGTGCACTGGCTAGCTACACGGCTGCATCCACACGGACGAGCAGCACGGTCGGACGTGCATACAGTGGAAACCTATAGTAAGCACGGGTGGTAAGGACGCAAGGGCCCTGGACGCCGAAATGGACACTGTTTGGGCGGCGGACTGCCAACACCCAGGAGGGCTGGCCAGTGAAAACCCCGAAGGACGGGCAGCAGAGGCAGAGACGCAAAGATACCCTGAGGGCATCCGTTGGCTCTTGCTATGGACTTTGACCGTGATATTCTTGCGCAGGTCGGGCTACCTCGGTGAGACCTAGATGCTCGGACCCACATGGCCAAGCCGTGCCAAATCCGATCGGGTGGTACGATGTGGCCCTCCGTTCCTTGCAGTCGAATCACCCTCGCGCAAGTCCCTTCCAGTGGGCGAACATGCATTTCCCCGCCGCTGGTCTCCACCAATCCTTGAAACACATCACGCCGTGAAGCGGCAATGCTCCGTCACCGCGCCCCCCTGGCACACGGAGGCGCGGTAGAGCACCCAGTGCTGTCTGATAGGTGTATGTCATCTTCTACGGTGCCCCCCCCCCCCCCCCCCCCCCCCCATCCGCACGCGCGAATCGCCCCCCCCCCCCCTGCCACCCTCCCGAAGGGCCCCTGAGAGCCCCGACGCGCCCCCGGCCTCCGGAGAGGCCCAAGACGGCCTTGGAGGGCCCCGAGAGGGTCCAAGACGGCCTCACGACGGCCCCACGACGGCCCCACGAGGGTCCCAAGAGGCCCACGGATGGCCAAGAGAGAGATCAAAGACAGCCCAAGGGAGCCCCGAACGACGGCCCCAGGACGGCCCAGGGCCCCAAGACAGCCCACGGGGTCCCGGCGGGGCCCCGAGACTGCCCCGCAGGAACCCTCGACATCCCCACGACGGCCTTCAGAAGGCCCCAGCCTCTCCACAAGCGGAAACGAAAGTGAAGGGGCCCAAGGACTCTCACAAATACATACACAGATCCGGCGATACCCATATGTCCTCCTATTTTCTGGGTTTTCGTCCTGACCCCATTTTCCATATGTTCCCCATACTTCCCGAGGAGTCGACGAGTCCTTGTGCCTCAGTGTTTTTTTTTCCCCTCCCGACGAGGGACGGCCTCGCGGACGGTGCCCGAGAACGGTCGGCGCGAAAAGCGTGCTCGGCCCCGGCGTGATAGCGGACTTTTCCCGTGGGCACACGGACAAGACAGCCCTCAGCCCGAGGGGGAAGGAGGGGAGAGGTGGACGGGAGAAGGATAATGAGGAGGAGGGGGAGGAGGAGGAGGAGGAGGAGGAGGAGGAGGAGGAGGAGGAGGAGGAGGGGGAGGAGGGGGAGGAGGAGATGTCGAGGAGTGACAGGGAAGAGGAGGAGGAGGAGGAGATGCCGACGGGAAGGACGCTGGGAACCGACGCATCTGCGGGCGCAAACGCGTTGGCCATGTCGTGGCGCCCGTTACCGTGAGAGCCTCTGAGCCAGCGACGCGGGCCATCGCCGGCGGGGCGGCCATCGCTCCCTCCCGAAGGCCTCGGGGGAAGAGGCTGAGATGACGGTCGCCTGGATGCTGTAGCCCGAAAGCCCCTCTGCACCAGTGCCCCGGCGAGAGGAAGGCCTGACAGCGCAAGAACCCAGGAGTGAATGATCCCAAGGTCTCATGGCTTCTCTCCCCCAGGACCTCACCAATAGCGCCCCCAGTGGACAAGCGGCCGAGGCGGAGAGAGGGGGTCTGCGCACTTCGAGCGCGACGATCGGTGCGGAGCAACTCGTTTCTCGCACTCGGAGAACGCAGGGCACGAGAAGGCGTAGCTCCAAGGCGGCGGTGCCCGGGCGCAGCGACCAACTCGTAGCTTGAACGAGCCTCAATCAGCCGCTCGCCGCTTCGGGTGTCCTGCGCTGCGCGATAGTCGACCTGAAATCGCGGGGGAGGTGCCGCCATCTCTGCACAAGACAAGGGCCACCTCAGACAACGTCACCATGCGTGCCGTTGAGGAGCCAGATACATCTGCCTAGCCACCGCGCCCCGCTCACCTGCTAGAAATCTATATATATATATATAATAAAAAAAAGAGGGGCTGCCACTCTGCCATGATATGGCGGCAACTGCAGGAAGCTAACACACCACCTTGCCAGGTCTACTACCCCAACAACGTTCAGCGCTCGTTTTCGGTGCCCACGGGAGTGACCAGCCAGAAGGTGCAGTCATCGGTGGACTTGGGCGCGCCGTCGGGCCGCTCCGCTTGGTCAAGAGCATATCCTACCCGTTGGCTACGAGCAGCACGGGATCACTATCGCCGAATAGTCCTGGCATAAAGTTGCATCAAGTGGCATTTCACCAATATTGAGAGTAGTATCTTCCGACTAGGACGCGCTGAGGATTTTATGGAGCGGGTGATCCCTTGAACGCCACCTATCTAGTATCGCCGCGTAGGCAGCAACATGTGCGGACAGCAAAACCTGCCGCGACTAGCGCCGCGACGAAAGCCGCCATCAGAGACCACTTGTAGATGAGGTCGCCTCGCGGCCTCGACGAGCTTTGAATCAACCCACAAGTCGTTTGTGCGATGTGCTACCCAATCTGCCTGGCGATTCCACTACCGCTCTCGCCAGCAAGTGGAATCGTCCTCAATCCCGTGGTGGCCGAAAGGCACTGCCACAAAGCTGGTCCAAGAAACCTGCACTGCGTCTCAAACGAAGCTGGTACAACTCGTCAAGCAGAGACGTGTTGCCATTGACGGGGCCTGCCAAGACCTGGCAGCTGACCACCAGTCGAAAGGCTATCCCATCACCTTGCCACACAGTTTCCTGCAGGTGCGACTGAGGCTTGGATGAATACCTGCTTGGGCAGCACTGGCAGTGATCCAAATATTGCTTTCTTGTGAAGTGTGAAAGTCGCCCTTGTGCTGGGCAGCATCGCACCACCACGCACATCCCACGCTCCCTACAATACGACCCATAGTACAAAGAACACGAGTAGTAATGATAAAACGGAACATGCTATATTGTCTGCACCACATGCCCACACCCAGGCAGATGTATAACTTTCTCGAGCCTGTCCCTCATGGACAGCCTGTGCCCACACTAACGGGTGTTCCCAAAAGCTCTGCGGCCCACGCCAACTGAACGTAAGATCCTCCCTTCTTCCGTTTATGAACTGGCAGAGTACCCAGGCACTCCAACACTCTGCTGACTCCAAGCCAGGGCGCCGACAACGGATATGTGCACTATTCGCCGGGACGACCGCGGTCTCTTGCAAAGCAGCCGTGCGTGGCCAAAGCGTACCTCTGTAAGCTCCATCGCACGCCCAAACCTTGCGAAAAAAACGTGTATGTTTCTTGTGGCCTGCTCGCTGGAACCCATCGGTGGCTTCACAGACCCCGGGAAACCACGGCTGGTCTTTCGCTGCATGCGAAGCGCGCTGCAAAGTGAATTGAGCTCGGAGACTCCCAAACACCATGTGTCATGTCCACCGCGGGCCATCCCCAAGAGGTATATCATTAGGCCCCCGCCTCCAAACGTCAAGCTCCCAATACTTATACGTGCCCTCGAGTCTGTACCCTGCTGCCCTGTCCACTGGGCTCTCACGCACCCACTCCTTGGCTGTCTCTCCCTGAGGGAGAGACAGCCACGGAGTGGGCATCTACTGCTGTGTTCCTCCCCTGTGCGGGCATGGGGGAGGCCGCTCGCGCAGCCCCCGAGGGCTACCCGCTGGGGGGCCTGCACCAGTCGCCGGAGAAGACGCTGCGCCAGGCAGTGATCTGCACGCGCGCGCGGAAGAGCTGCGGGTCGTGCGGGTCTTCCTGGCGGGCCGGGATGCGGCCGGGAGCTCGTGCCTAACATGTCGCGGCGACGGCCCTGGCGACACAGTGTGCCCTGCAAGCGGGTGGCGTGTCGCTCCGCTGCGCGGGGCGGGAGGCTGAAAGGGTTTCGGGCCGTGGACGCTTGGGGGCTGTGCCGTGGTTGGCGTGCGTCGCGCCGCAGCGTGACAGGCGAGAAGAGGCGGCGCGACACGCTGAGCACACATTCCTGTGGTGTCCCGCAGTCGCGCCCCGTCGCAGGGCTGCCCACCTGCCTCCCATGAGCACGAATCCATCCAAATAGCCTGTATGATCGACACGAACCGAAATGATCCCCCCACCCCAAGGAGGGAGGGAAGCACGTATAGTGGAACAAGATGTCAATACAGCTGCTCCACATGCCTCTCCCAGGGCGCCTTCTGGCCAGGACCCCGAAACGAATTCAGTCGTGGCGACGAGCGAACGCCCCCAAAGGCCCAAGAAGACGAAAACGAGAGATGGGCATCAGCATCGGAATTTCTCTCAGGGGGGGCCATAATCAAGTCAGCTCGGCTCCAGTCGGCACGCAGGGTCGACTGGATCGGACCGTGGACGGCTTTGCGCCGATCTCCAACGACTCTCCTGCCAGTCCCGTCCCCGCCCTCGTTTGCTCTCCCCATCTGGCCCATCTACTGACCCTCCTCGTCCTCCTGGTCCTCCCAGTCATCCTCGTCCTTCTCGCCCTCCCAATCACTATCATCATCGTGATCCTTGCATCGCCAATACACATTCGCACATCATCCTTTTTGACGCAGGGCAAACTTGAACCAGCTGTGATCGCATCATTAGCACATCCTCCTCATCCTCATCATCCTCCTCATCATCATCGTCAGCAGCATCATCAGCATAACCATCACCATCGCCGTCAACATCATCATGATGATCGCCATCAGCATCATCATCATCATCATCATCATCATCATCATCATCATCACCACCAGCATCATCATCATCACCACCACCATCATCATCATCATCATCATCATCATCATCATCATCATCATCATCATCATCATCATCATCATCATCATCATCATCATCATCATCATCATCATCATCATCATCATCATCATCATCATCATCATCATCATCATCATCATCATCATCATCATCATCATCATCATCATCATCATCATCATCATCATCATCATCATCATCATCATCATCATCATTATCATCATCATCATCATCCCCTTTCCAGTATGCTCCCCCGATTCCCTCACAATTCCCATCAACCTCCTCACCCGAGGGTTTCTGCTCATGTCATGCATCCTTTCTCCGTCATCCATCTCCCTCCTCTTGTTCTCTCAATTTCGTGGCCCCCCTTGGCAGACCAGCAGCGCGGGAAACACCTTTTTGTCGCGGACTCGGCGCTCGCGCATGCCGGTGAAGCTGGATCGGGCTGCGAAGAAGAAAGCTATCATGCAGGATGCCGATGCTCAATTTGCAAAATGCTGAAAGCGGAAGGCGAGCTGCTGTGTCGAGCGGGGATGATGAAAGCAGGCTGTCGCTGGGTGCTAAGTCCCTCCAAAAACGCCGATAACGTGCCCACGGTGAACGATCGCTCGCCCAGGGCTGCCATGGGCCATCGACACGGGTCTCACACCCCAACGACAAATGCCTTCTGGGGGACGCAGCAGCGTCGGAAACACGCGAGGCACGCATGTGAGAGGACGCACCCTACAGTAGGAGCTCGACCACAAGAAACATTAAACAAGAAAACCAACCCTGAGACCCCAGGACGTCCATTGATTTGTGGTGGGGACGTCACGCTTTTCAGAGCAAAGCCATCGACACCCAAGAAACACAGGGCACCCTGGAGGCAAGCAGAGTGTTTCTTGGCATGGGTTTCCACTGTCCCCGACAAGCGCATAAGACATGAGTACGCGTGTAATGCCCACTGGGGCCCACCTTGGCCACTCACGAAAGATGCGTTAGTAGGTCTTGGTGATCGACGTCCGCAATTACCCCCAACTGGTGCGTGTGATTCGGCTCTTCGTCGATATCCTCATCATCCGTATTTTCCAAATGTAGTTTTTTCTAGTCTCCTCGCGTTCCTCCTCCTTCTCCTCCTCCCCCTCCTCATCCTCCTCCTCCTCCATCTCCTCCCCCTCCTCCTCCTCCTCATCCTCCTCCTCCTCCTTCTCCTCCTCCTCCTCCGTAAAGAGCCACATGTCGTATATGTAATTGCCACATCGCATGCCTTCGTCATGATCCCCCCACAGATTGCCTCGTCCTTGTGTCTCGCTCTCTCTCTCTCGCCCTCGCCTCCATTCCTTCCTCTTGCACGCTGGACGATTTGCACGCCGGACAATTCGCCTTTCGGTTGCCCCGGTTACCCCCATCCTGGTGCGGATTTCTTCTGCCTCGCCGCCGACGAAGCAATATCTCGTTCTCTCTCTCTCTCTCTCTCTCTCTTTCTCTTTCTCGCTCTCTCTCTCTCTCTCTCTCTCTTTTTCTCCCTCTGCACCTCCATCTCCCTGTGTATATATAGCGTGTATGCGCGTACATAAATAGATAATGCAAGATCAACACATACTTATAGATAGCACACATCTACATTATATATATACATAAATCAATGTAAGTATACCCCACTGTATCCTTGTGTCTCTCTCCCTCTCTCTCTCAACGCTTGTCCTCGTCCTCTCCCTCGATGCTGTGCGCGCTGGCTTCCCTGGCATTTTCGGCCCAGGCAGAGGAGTTCGGACGCACCCCAGGTCGTGCTCACAGGTGTGCTCCGAGGCGACCGCGAATTTCGCGCTCCGATTCCAGAGAAACGATCCGATCAGTTTCTAAGCAGCAGACTCTCTCGTGACACGTTCAGAGCCGGCATCGTCGCGGTGCAACGGGTGTTCGTGGTTCGTCCGTGCTGTTGTCCTTCGCGGGTGCGGCACGATTCATATCATTTCATATTCCATGCGTGCAGTTGTTCTTCTTCCTTTTCCTCTACTCCAACGCCTTCTTCTGCTTCGACGTACACATATCAATTGATGTGGCGGATATGGCTAGTATATGGCTTCTGGTGGTGGTTTGCAGCAAGTTCTGACTACTCGGCGACGTGGCCCTCAGCCTCGACTTCCGCGCAGACGGCTAGCCAGGCCCACCGTTTTCTGCGACACGATTTTCGAGACGGGTGCGACGGGTACCCAGGAAGAACATGCAAAGCTATTATCTGACTGGGCATGGGAGTCGGTCCCAACATTGTCGACAATACCTGTCACCGTAGCTCTTCAAAGGATCCTTCCAGGTATTGATAGCCGTGCACCACCACCACGACGATTGCAGGGACAGTGGCTTTACTTTGCAGTGGCAAACCTGTTGATGGTGTCAGCAGTTGTGCGCATGAGGAGGGCAATGCAGGAGGCACGGCCCCCAAAGTGGCTTCATCGTGTTTGTCCGCTTCTTCCTCCAGAGTGGCATCGGGCGATTCGTGGCACAGACGAGAGTGCTTTCTTCTTTGCTCGGCAGGCGTGCTTTGGTCCAGTCGGCCCTTACCAGGCCGTGGTTTACACACTCGGCAGCTATTCAGCCCTGTACCTTGGACAGGCAAATCTTCAAAGAGCAACTCGTTCAGGTGTCGGCCCTCGGATGGGTGAGCATCTTCGCTGGCTGTTTATGGAAGGCCCGTCGTCGGCAATACGACCGAGATACCGTTGCTTGCGGAGGAGTTTGGGTTCCCTTTTCTATATCCCAGTGTTATTTTTATCATCAAGTTCAGCAGCGCTGCACTTCGAGAGCTTGGGAATCCGCACGATAACTCCATCAGCAAATCAAGCAGATAGGTGCGAAGCGACATCGACTGCCTCGCGACGCGGGCATGGTCTCGTGCTGGCAGGACGTCGTGCGAAGCAACGCTTTCGTCCTCCTTCCTGGCGTCGCAGGCGTCCATCTACAATCCGGCGGTCCCCGTTTACGAGTGCATTTCCTCAAGTTCCAAGCCTTCGGAGACGGCGTGAAGTTCATGACGAACTACCAGGGGTGCTGTCAGAGTCTGGCCCGTTCAGTACGTTGTACCGCCGGCAACTGCGTGGAAGGTTCGCTGAGTCTGGACAAATTGGACCACTATTTCTATATGAGCCGTGCCGGGTTGCTTTACTTCTTGCGTGGGTGTCAGTCCGCCGTACATCGACGCATCTCCCATCATGGCCTAAGGCAGCTCTTGCAGATATGTTATTCCGTGCAGCAAGACTCGCACCGGCTTTAATGGAATCTTGGCATCGTGTTCATGCTGCGTATGTTGGCCTTGACCGGCTATTGCGAAAAGTACAGCTACCAACTCTTCAGGTACCAGTTCTCCATGTTCCTCATGCTTTTCGACATGCGAAGTACAAGGGCGACCTCCGGCGATGCAAAGAGCTGATTATTTCACACATTCGCATCGACTGCATACGTCATTGGTACCAACGTAAGCTCAAAATCTCCTTCAAGAAACAACCTATTTGGAAAGATCGAGTGTCTGCGCCCCGGTTTCTTCGTGAAGCCCGTATGCGAGATCTCCCGCCAGTACAACCAGAACGGCCCCTTCTGCCGCCACTGGAGTTGCGACGATTGCATGGAGTATGGCGGCTGCCAGTCTGGGACCATCCACGTACGTTGTTTGGACAGCTTCGGGTGGCTGTGAACTCCTGGGCAGGAAAGGCAAGAATTCACAGCAGAGTCCTGAAACCTACCCTCCGTGGCCTACGCCAACGACGGCAACGCCCTGAACTACCAGAAGAAACCGCACCGAAGCCATGGGAAGATATGGAAAACATCTTGCGATTGGAGTCGTATATTTCGCCACACAATGTGATCATAGGTAGTGACAAAGATAAAGACCGAGCATGGACAAGCAATGGTATAGATTTGGCACGATACATGGTGAAAGCTATTCTTCGCGACCCTTCTTGGAAACGTCGGGACGACATCTCAGAGCAGGACGTTCGCACTTGGCTGTGGGCACGTGCAGAACTTGGCTTACC